AAAATGCTCATGGAAGTCATTCAGGCAGAAAGGGGAAAAACAGCTGACGGAAATAAGGATCTACACAGAGGCACGGAGATCAATGGAAATGATAACTACATGGGTAAATACATATGATTGCTAAACTTATTTAAATATTTTTAAAAGGTAATTGACTTTAAGAATTGATAAGTGTACTGCAGGGTTTGTAAAATATGTATAAGCAAATGTATGACACACTAGCACGAAGGTTGGGAGGGGAGAGATGGAGGCGTGAAATGGTGTATCACAAGAAGGCAGACTATAATAGGTCAAAGATGTACACAAAAAGCCCCAAGCCTCTATGGCAAATGTGGTCAGGGTGTGGAGAAGCTGCTGGTGGGATGCAGAACCACTTTGGAAACATGTTTGGTAGTTTCTTAAAAAGTTAAATATTCAACCACCATATGAGCTAGATGTCCCACTCTGAGGTAATTACCCAAGAAAAAAGAAAGCATATGTCTACAAAAAGATCTGGTTATGAATGTTCATAGCAACTTATTTATAATAGCCCCAAGCTGGAAAAAACCCAAATGCCCATCAACAGGTAAATGGATAAACCAGTTGTTACATCCATACAGTGGAGTATTATTCAGCAAGAGAAGGATACAACTATTGATACACAACAATATGGATGAATCTCAAAATAGTTACGCAGAGTAAAAGAAGTCAGGCAAAAAAGTATGTTCTGTGTCATTCCATTTACATAAATTTCTAGAAAATGCAAATGAATCTGTAGTGCCAGATCAATGGTTGGTGAGGAGGGCAGGAGGGGCATGGGAAGACTTTCGGGGGTGATGACTATGTTTACTATCTTTAGATGCTGTTTCATGGCTGCAGTATGTGTCAAAGCTTATCAACTTGCATACTTTAAAAGATGTGCATTTGATTATATGTCAATTATAATTCAGTGAAGCTATTTTTTAAAAGAGAAAATATATATGATTGAAAGTATACTGTATAAACAATTCTGTCTTCTACATTTTTCCCAATAGAAGCATATTGTGAGCCTGTCCCCGTGTCATCAAAAATTCCGTTTTTAAATAGCTACATAACACCCCAACGTATGGATGCCTTGCAATTTATTGAATCTCTTTTCTTTGTCAGACATTTGGGTGGTTTGCCTGCTTTCCACACATTCAAGTGACACGACGATAAACGTTATTACATACATTTTTAAGTAATAACAACTTTCAGATTATTTGAAAATCCTCCTTTTCATACATTTTCAGAGTATTCATGAAAGCTCGATTGCCAGAAGTGGGATTATTGGAGCAGGAGTCTTAATTCAGGTGTCTCATGTTCCCCACAGGCTCAGGATTTGGAGCTGCCACCAAAGCGATGTGCATTGGCATGCGGTACTGGAAGCCTGAGAGGCTGGAGACCCTCATTGAAGTCAGCATCGAGTGCGGCAGGATGACGCACAACCACCCCACAGGTAACGCCGGCATAGGGGCAGGTGCCCTACACAGCAGGTGCTGTGTGGTTCTCCACCCAGCCGAGTAGACTGGAATCTCACGTGATCACATCCACTGTTTGGTTTGCTATTTGTTGGCAGACTCGGGTTTTCTTAAATCTTTGGTTCTTCTTAGATTCTGTTTTCAACCCAAAAACGGGATTGGCAATAAGCGTGGTGGTTTTGGGAGAGGGTATGAAAAGCACCAGTTATCTGAATGAAGCTAGGATCTGAAAGGAAACAAAAGCTCAAAGTACGCAAAGTAATTGCCCAGGGTCCTATGCTCGCCCAGCATCCCAGGGCTAGGATGTGGGGCTGGTGCCATTGTTGTCCCTCTGTCCCCACTGCCCTCCAGGTTTCCTCGGGTCCCTGTGCACAGCCCTGTTTGCATCCTACGCCATACAAGGAAAGCCACTAGAGCAGTGGGGGAGAGACATGATGAAGACGATCCCACTCGCTGAAGAATATTGTAAGAAGACCATCCGGCACCTGGCAGGTGAGCATGGCCTCTCTTCCTATTACACTTGCACTGGCACCGAGAATTTGGTCTCAGTTCACACTCAAAGTAGATTTGGACAGAACCAGTGGCTCCCAAAGAAGTCAAGGTCCGTTTACCCATGGTGCAACCAAGAGTCACCCCGTGGGGTCTGTGTGAGCAAGTGGACCCCATAGGCAAGGCTTGACGTGCTGCCAGCCAGAGGGCATCACCTGCTCAGAAGGGACCCAGGTGTGCAGGGAGATCCACAGTGGTGCCAGAAGGGGAATGACGTGCACACAGCAGACCTTAAATAATGTCAGTTCATTTAATGTTGTTTTGTTATATGGCTGATGAGATGCCATAGGAATTTAACTCTTGTTTATGTTAATTAGCCTGTGGTAAAACTGGTTTCCTTATATGTCGTTTTGCTTAAAGTCACAGGACCTATGAAAGACATTAAGTGAGGATATTTAAATTCAATTTTCCAAATTGTCCTTAAGTAGGCCATTCCTCAGACAGGGATGAGGGACATCAGTACTGGTGTCCTAACTGCTCCCAGGACCTAATGGACAGCTGTGCCTGACCCAAGAGACTTAAGTCTCCCACACAAAGGCTGGACAGAAGTCTGCCCACTGATGACATTTGCTTCCAGGAAGCTCTATCTGTCCCAGTTTAGACAAAATCTGTCGTCAAATGACTCACACCCTTTTGGCCATGAGTGAGGTCAATCCAGCCAAAAGCAGCCAATCCAGCAAAGGTCTTAGGGGATCACAGTGTTGCTGGCTGAGCACTCAAGGGGCTTCTGCACTCTTCTCAGCCTGCATCCCTTTCCCTGTGGGTTCCCCGAGGGAGAGCAGACCTGGGGCAGCAGGTGCAGGACTAGGAAATCCACAGCTTCCTCCTCACGTGGCTGACGCAGAAGGACGTGGGCTGCATGGAACACAGGCAGCTTCATGCCGCCTTTGATGTTCTTAAACTGTGGAGGGAAATGTCTAAAGTAAATTATTCAGTTTGTCCTGGAGGAGAGGAAGGTGAAGGATTTGAATGAAAGCTGCTGACTTTTCAGAATAGCCTGAGGCTGAAGTCTTCAAACAGAAAATCTACAAGGCACTTTTACTGTCACGCTCCAAGGTGCTGGGACTATATTCTAGAATGCTACGTGGGAAGCTTCTAGAACAGCTTTACAAGGAGACCTTTGCATTTATATCTGCCTGGACCTAGTGCTGGGAAATACTTCCCAAGGGCCCTGTTCCAATGAGAAGTGAGAAACCTCAGTGTTCACAGCAAACTAACTGTTCCTGAATAGCCATCCCTCTGTAACCTTAATTATAGAAAACAAGTGGCAGCACCATATTTAGTTTATTTTCATTTGGTTTAAGTCATTGTTTGTTATTCCTGAGCTCTCTCCAGCCCTGGAGAGGTTGGTCTGTGGTCACTGGGTTACTCATTTCCCTAACCCAAGTAGGGTCACCTTAACCCATCTGAAAGAGACAGGTAAGTAATATTAGAGTATGAAACTGCATGGTTACTATATTCACATTAAGTTAATGAACATTTCCCCAGAATTCTAAAATAAAAAATGGCTTTCCCCAGTGTTTTCTGAAGAACAATAGTCAAAGATGTCCCATGAACAAAAACTGGGAGGAAAATCATTGGTCAGATAATTTTGAAACTTTATTCTTTGTATTTAATTGAAAATTTGTTAGGCCGGAGTTTTATGAACCTCTATGGCAGAATCCTCTTTCATAGAACATCTAAAATCAGCCAGAGACAATGATGTTCTGTAGAACATCCCCAGGAAATATTCTTCCTGGGCCTTCTGCTTAGTCTACGACAACATCCATTGGCAATAAGGACAACTGGCAAATTAGTTCCATGTTTTTATGTTTGGATGTCTATTTTCAAAGCCGACTGGCCATTTACATGGGAAAGAGGCTATGTCTGAGTTTGCGCCCACACCCAGTATGAGCACGCTGTTAGGAATTACATGTCTCTGCAGGACTAACAGGATCTATGAATCCCAGTCCTGGCCCTGTTGCTTCTGTCTTTTACTTTTAATCTTATTTCACCAAAATTAAACCTTAAACGGGCCTCACGTTAGTTTTGTAAAACAGAGTCGGGCCAACATTTCCAAGGGCCAGTGATTCCCTTGGCAACCTGGAATGGCATCCTAGGACTGATCCCAGGCACCCCCTGCCATCCCTGTGGGGCATGTAGCAGGAACTCAGCTTCCCTCTGCAGCCAGTGACCACCCAGCCCCTCTCTGGTCATTGCTCTGCTCCTCAAGCTCCCCAACCACAAACAGGCACAGCAGGGCCTGTGGCTCCTCTGAGTCCGTTGATTCCCTTGGGCCTTGCTGGCCACTTAACCACTCTACTCAGTCCACATCTTGGGTGGTGGTGAAGCTATGGTCCTGCTGGCTGTCCAGGAGGACAAGCTCAAGTGTGCTTGCCCAGCCACCAAGGTGAGGGACGTTGAAGCCCTCTTGACCACCTGAGTACTCGAAGACTCAGCGCCATCTCCTATTGTCTACGAGCAAGTGTAGCTACTGCTCCAGGCTTGTTTCTGAGTCAACTTCCTCTTCCCCAAATGACCTCAGAAACGTTGCTTCAACACCTCTGGGGCTTGGATGTGAAGCTGTTAATTAAGAATAGTGAAATGTCCTCTTTCCTTACCTTGCAGGCACTGTTGAATTAATAAAAACACACAGGTTCAGAGTTTTCAAAAAAATGTACTTAAAAATATCGCCATTGCTATCTTTGTTTGAGAATATAGTCAAGTAACTCTTCGAGTTGCTTTTCCACCCCAACCCCCCATCTTCATCTTCCTTGCTATTGTTCCAAAGTAGCTACAAATATAAGTATTTTTGAATCTCTGGAGCAATCATGAGGCTGAGGTGCCAGGCTCTCCTCCCACCCTATGCTGGATGGAGGGCATTACCCCCTGCCTTCTGTTCCCTCCCGCTCACTGCCCACAATGTCCCTGAGCCCACCCCCTCAGCCTTGCACCGCAGCTGATGGCCATGACACCCTGCCCACCCTGTTCTTTATGTTTAGAGTACCAGGAGCACTGGTTTTACTTTGAAGCTAAATGGCAGTTTTACTTGGAGGAGAGAAAAATCAGTGAAGACACAGAAAGTAAAGCCATCTTTCCTGACCATTACGATGCAGAGGAGAGGGAAAAGGTAAGTCTTGTGTCCCAGAGGGCAATGGCAGCAAGGGAGCAGGAGCTATCAGGGTCCCACGGCCCGGGGGGTCCTACACTGAGAAGCCACCTTGCACCTGGACTGTGTCATTGCCTTCCAAGCCCCACGTCGAGTGGGGCTGCCCTTCACAGTAGAGATAGGCTGAGGGAGCAGCTGCATGTGGGAGAGGCCATGGAAGACTTCTTTGTTCCTTTGCCCTACTCAGACCGAGTGCCACCACAGAGTGGCTCTCTGGATGTGCTGTAACAGTCCCATCACAGCACTCTCAGTCCCTTGGCCCAGCTCCATTTCTCCTCATAGTCTTTATGGCTGCCCAACAGGCTGTCACGTGTTTATCTGTGAAATGATTGTCTCAGAATGGCTGGGGTGTAAGGGCCATGAAAATTGAGCTTTCCCTGCTCACTGTCCAGCCCCAGCCCTGGGACAATGCCTGGCACACGGGTGGAATTCCATAAGTGCACGGCAGGTAAATGACGGACCTGGAGGACCCAGGAAGCTCATGTTCTAACGCAACCTGACACAGCTCTGCTTTTGGCCCCGCCCCTGCCTCTGACCCATTGCTCTTTCTTCAGACCTATAAGAAATGGAGCTCAGAAGGTCGAGGAGGACGGCGGGGCCACGATGCCCCCATGATTGCCTATGATGCCCTCTTAGGAGCCGGGAACAACTGGACAGAGCTCTGCCAACGGGCCATGTTTCACGGAGGTGAGGCTTCCTTCTTTAATGGCCTCGGACTTTCAGGAGACCAGCATCCTCTTCTCATCTCAAAGCACCTGTAAGAATGTCCAGGGCTTCCTTCTCTAGGCGGGGCTCTGGCCCCAATATGCTTGTGCATAGACATCACAGGCTGTGGGCAGGTCACGGCTCTGCCTGGGTGGCCCCGTGAGTCAGAGCTTAGAGAGAATGTAATATTCAGAGTGGCTGAGGTGCAGGGCTCTTTCTCCCTTGTAGCTGCTGGTTCAAGAGCATGTAGATTCCACTGGTGCTGGCCGTGCACAGTTCTACTCTCTCCAGCTATTGTCATCTCGTCTGTCACCTCTGCAGACTCTGCAGTCTCTGCAGTCACATAGAGTCAGGAAGCCCTGGGTTCAAATCCAGCTCTGGGCCTGTCTCCCTGTAAAGGAAGAGGGTAAGACCCACCTTGCAGGGCTATTGAGGCAGCTGAAGACAAGACGCCAGGCATTGACCACCGTGCCGCTCAGTAGCAGTGATCTTTGTTCCACGGCTGGGTGGGCTGGCCTCACTCCCCGGTGCCCTTTTTCTCCTGTGAATGTAAAGTAAGAGGACAACAGGTATATATTACCTCCTGCTGGCCATGGAGTCCATCAATATTAGAGTGACTATTGTCAGAGCAAGTGCTGTTCTTGGTGCTGAGATGGCTGAAACGCTAGCACTTCCTGGGAGCCAAAAAGAAGGCTTCTTGGAGAGCACAGGGGCTCCCAATGGGGGAGGAGAAACCAAGGAGAGAGTGACAGGAGAGGATGACAGGATGACAGGAGCTAAGGGCAGCAAGGTTGCTGTAAGCTTGGGAGGAGGGGACCTGAGGAAGGACACAGAGATCCAAGCAGCCCAGCACCCTTAGCTGAGAGCAGGAGGGAGACTTTTAAGAGGTGCAAACAGCTTGTGAGAGAGCCCAGCATGGACTTTGACTGTCCCGGAGATCCACAGGAGGTGGTCTCCCTGGGTGCCCAGCCCTCAGAATGGCAAAGATATCTGCATACTATCCTGTGTTGTCAGCATGTTTGGAGAGGAAATCTGGCACCTTTACTGGGGACAGCAAAAGCTGCCCAGGGCCTGTGGGGTGTCACCCAGAGCAAACCTGAGGTTTAGCATGAGGATGGAGAGGAGGCTGAGAAAGCCCTGGGGCTGCCTGCTACAGGGCACTCAGCCCAGAATAGCCTCTATGATGGGCCCTTGACAAGGGGGGTGACTGGAAACTCTAGCCGGTGTCAAGTTCACAGTGATCCCCCTCTTCCTGCTCTGCCTTGGAGACCCCTGAGGACCTGTGTTTCTGTTTCAGGTGAGAGTGGGGCAACAGGGACCATCGCAGGCTGCCTGTTCGGCTTGCTCCATGGCCTGGGCACTGTTCCAAAAGGCCTGTACCAGGACCTGGAGCACCGGGAGGAGCTGGCACACCTGGGCGAAGCTCTTCACCGCCTGTCCACAGAGGAGAAGTAAAGCCCTTCTGCCATTTTCCATTTCCAGGGAGGCCACTGCAACTCTGGGTGCCCCAGGGGAGTCCTCATTGTGGACTCTGCTCAGCTCACTGATAATCCACGCCTAATTGACCATGAGTACATTTTAACTCTTCGCCTCCCAATTTCAGAATCCTAATCATTTATAAAATGCACTGTTTGTCCTACGAGAATAGTTTTCCTATCCTAACCCAAACCTAGTGTGTTATGAGGTCATATTGGATTTGCTACCCTCAAACCTCCACATGCAATAGTCACAAGTAGTCTCTTGGACAAATTGGTGTATTTTATTCTGTCGCTAAACTAATGCTATTTGCTCCGTCATTTCAACAACTAACCATGATGGCTCTGCTCAGAAGGACCTCCTCCATCTGGAGAACCTTCCATCACTGTCTGTCTCTAGCTCTTTCTTACATGTGCACTTCGGCAACTGCAAACCTACCACCCCCCACCCCACCAGCTGCGCCCGTCCCTCATGGGCGAGTGTTACACTTGCATTCTCACTGCCAGGTTTCCATATCAGAAGAACAGTCAGTATTGGTGTCTTAAGGTTGCAGCCAAAAGCACTGCGTTTAACCTGCCAGCCTATGTTTTTAATCACACTAGATCTTTCAAACCAACCTCTTTTGGAACAACTAACTAAGGAAACCAAGAAATAAAGGGCTCTCGTGCCAGCACCCGTATCTTTCTTCTCTGTGGTCTGCAGCTGTCACACTTGTGTGGGTCAGGTCCTCATTGCAGAGAGGGCCTGTAGCCTGCTCCACCGGGGTTCGCTGATAAGAAAATGGAGCCAGGGTTTCTCACTCTGAGATTCTTGCTCCTGGTAGAAATAACCTTGAACACAGCTCTTTAAAAGTAGCATCTGGTGTGACTAAAACAGCAGTTGGTGACTGATGTTTAACATGGCACTTTGGTGGCTTGGCTGGGGCCTGTCTTGTGGATAGCAGCGTTCTTTTTATTGAAGGCTTGCCTCTGAGCACAGCCAGGCACAGTCCTCATAGCCCCAGGGACACCAGGCCTGGGGGATGCTTGCTCGCACTCGGGCTCTGAGGCTTCCTGGGACCACACGGCATTCTTACTCCCTTTTTTTATCGTCCCCTGGTGTCCTGGGCTGTAGGAACAGTAGAGTGTGTTTCCAATAGAATACATCACTTTCCATTTCTTAGGAAACGTATGAAGGTTTCCATCTGTGCTGATGGAAGAACCTATGAGCTATTGTGTAATAAGCAGATTGCACCAAAGTGTTTTTCATGTCAGGTTTCTGAATAACTGAACTAACATTTGCTGCTACTGATGCTTTTCAATCAGAAGAGACAGAAAGGCGGAGTGGGTGAAGGGTTCTCACATCACTTACCTCCACCTCCCATGGTCCGAGCCAGGGTTAGTGGGGGTGGAGAAATTAACTGAGAATTATCTTCCAGGAAAAGAACCCCAGTTAAGGTAAGTTGACACTTTTCCTAGACATACATAACACAACAGCTTACTGTTTTGAAGTAATATCCCGTTTCACCAGCTTACCCTAAAAGGGGCCCTTTGGACTCTGCTGTGAGGAAGAGAAGCACACCTCAAATGGGGAGGGTGCAATCGGATTCGAAGGAGGCTACTTGGTCTCCATTTTATACGTGATTTAGGAGAATTCAATCCATCCTTAAGAATCAGAGAGTGACAAGAGTGCGAGCTCTGAGCAACAGCGGTTCGATGCCCGGCCCGAGCTGAGCTGCCGCTAAGCTGCCAATAGGTAGCAGGATGGCTCAGCTAAAAAACAAACAAACAAAAAACAAAAAAAAGAATCAGAGGGTGAGTCTGTTGACAGACTGATTATAAATTAAAACACATAAACGAAAATTCAAAGACATCATAAAATGAGTGAAACTGTTTCCTCATTTCATTTTCCTATTACAGGGAAATGCAAAAGTCGAAAAGATAAACAAAACCATAAAAAGTAATGAGCTGAATACTACACCTACTCGGATTTTAAAAAATTTAATACTTGCTGTTTCACTCTTATTATAAAAGTATTACATGCACACAGCTTCAGAAATTTAAATGCCATAAATGGTGCATATGGAAAGCAAGATTCTTCTAAACCCTCAGGCACATTCACATTTTACAAGGCCCCAGAGAAAGCCATAGGTCACGATTCCTTATGTCACTTTCTAGAAATGTTCTTTACGCTACAGTTAGGGTTGCACGTATGTGTTGTGTATTTGCATCTGTGTGTTGTACACACACACACACACACACACACACACAATTTCTTTCCACAAATAAGAATTATAGTATTCATAATGGTTTCCTTTTGGCATTTTTTACTTAGCTGGATTTTTAAATATTTTTCAGTATCATCATAGGTGTATCTATCTCAGTCTTTTTGACGGTTGCCTGATAGTCCATTTACACATGTACCATAGTTTATATAATCGGGCCTCTATTGATGTAGTTTTAAGTTGTTTCTATTTCTGGAATGGTATTTTTAAACAGTTTTCCTCATAGTTACTTCAAAATGTTGCTTCCCCATCTCCTCTGAAAAGAAATTAAGCTCAATAACCTAGTGATTTTTCATTCTAGGATGCATTTTTTTAAAATTTGATATTTCTAAAATTGGGATGCATTGTATATTTTGTGTCTGATAATTTAATTGGCAGTTTTTCGTTCCCTGAGATCTATCAAGTAACAGTGCATCTTACAATCAATAGCGTGTTAGATCCAAGAACACTGATGTTAAATACCCATGTGAATTTACAGCCCCTGTAAAACATCAGGTGTAAGGATATTATTACCTGTTACTCCCAGGTGACAAGTAATGACAACTCCAAGGCAGGTGTGGCCCTGAGATGTGACCTACCTTACAATTTTCCTCCTACACCTATAGACCATGCCCTTCTACTGATAGTCCCGTTACTGGCACAAGACTTAGGGATGTGAGGTCTGAAGCTGGGACTCTGGACGGATAGTCCTGACTGTGACTAGGAAATGTCATGGCCATCAGAAAAGGTTTGCACTCTGGCAGCCATCTGTTTTCCCAGTGACAGGTACACAGCTCTCCCTCATGTCTCCACTATTGGAGCAGGTCCCTTGTGCTGCTCAGAAGCTTTCAGACTTCAGGCTCACTTTGATTAATTCATGTCCCCAGACTTTTTGGTTAAAAGATTTTGCATTTAGATTTCAAATCATTTTCCCAGTGTCTCTGTATCTGGATGCCAGATATGAGGTGGGTTTGGCAGGTATTGTCACTCCTCTCCAACAGCTGGGGGAAACCAAGGCATGGCTCAATCACTTGACAAGGTCAGAAGAGCCACTCAGAGGGTCCAATGACCACAGTGCATTGCAGAGCTGCCTCAGCGCCCAGTTCTCTGATGCCACCCACCATAACTAGGTGTGCTTTCCCTAAATCTATGTTTCCTTAATAGGACGTACAGAGGTGGGTACCGTTACTACTCCCATTCTGTAGAGGAGGAAACAAATCCAGAAAGTTGGAGACGCTAGTGAATGGAGAGTGGTAATTTAAACCCAGCATGTCTGACAGCCAAACTCCTGCCTCCTAACTTCCCCGTCATCCACCCTAATTCAGTGAGACTTGACCACTGCCCTAAACACCCCTAAGTAGATGCCCCCGTTGGTGAATTATGAAACCCCAGCACCCCAAGCAGACAGGACTTGATCAGATATCAACTGATGGAACTAGAAATACTCAAATTCATGTGCCACCCAAACGTCTGGGTTTTAAAAATTCCATCATCGAAATTCATACCAAGCTCCTGTAATTGTGAATAACTTTTAAGTAACAGTGCAGGCACTGTGACTCCTTGAGTGAAAAATCCCTCACGTGTTGACTTATTTCCAGTTAATAAGTAGAAATAAAGTGTAAGCACCCTCAGAATGTTACAGGGGGCAAATCAACATGGGAAGGAAAATGGCCGCCTTGAGCCTCCCAGTGGGTTCCGTGTGCCCCGATCACTGAACAGAGATGGCTAGCCAGCAAACGGGAGCTTAAATACATGCGACAGAAAGAACAGCAGCTCGGGTGCTAAGTGCCTGGTCATCACTTTGTCTGGATAAGCACAGCAGCGGCTGGGAGGGGGCCCAAGCTGTAGGCCAAGAGATGCTACCAGGCTCACAGCACATCACATGGCCTGAGGGCAGCATCTGTGCCTCAACTGCCACCCCCACCACCCCACCACCATGGGGACATAACACAAGGAGGGTGACGCAGGGAATATGGGGCCTTCTCGGGACCACCGCCACCTGATGTAGACAGGCTTGTGCCATCCCAGACGCCTGGGAAAACCCAGAATGCCTGAGTCCTTTGCCTGCCCCCAGACCTGGGTACATTTGTGCACCACTGGGTCCCAAATGCCACCGCTGACCGGTGCTCTCAGGGTCCTGGAATGCACTTGTCACCCCATGGCTTTGCTTCCTTCCTGTCCCATCCTAATGGTTTGTTTTCAAGTACTTCAAACACACAAAAGTAGCTCAAAGAAACCCCATTGTCTCTTCACCCAGCTTCACCAGCTGCTAACACTGGGCCATGTCTGCCTTATCACTTTCTCCCTCTCTCACTACACACACACACACACACACACACACACACACACACACGTGTACACACACACAGATGCACAGACACACACACAGAGATACACACATACACAGATACACACACATACACAGAGATACACACGCACACACAAACACACAGCAGTAACTGTAAATTAGGTGTGAGAGGAGTGTCTCTAGAATGTTCTTACTTATTAAATCTCAGAGCCTGGAACAGCATTCAACACTCAGGGGGTCTCAGTCAGCTGCAGTCGGACAGACATCCCTTTATCCACCATAGCCAGGGCCATGCCTGTGAGGTTCAGGTGCATGATCATGGGGTACCCCAGCCCAGATGGCTACCTGCCATTCTTTAGCCTAATTTATTTCCAGGAAAACGCAGAGGTTCAGGTTCTGTGACTCACTGGCATAGTTTCAACTGTTAGCTACTTAGTCACTAAAAAGAAAAAAAAAAAACATACCAAATAGTCAACAGACATTTGTTATTGTGCTTTACTAGAAAAATAGTTACTGTTAAAATGATGTGTACAAATTATGATTAATAGTCAACATTAGAATTAACCTTAATGAGCTCACCGCTGTAATAGTCACATGGGCTGGCTCCCAGCCG